AGATACATAGGCATTTTTTTTTTTTTTTTTTGGTATTAGTTTTTGTGAATTTGAAATTACTTCCAAATAAAAAGGTTAACGTTGTAAAGTAGAGCTATTAATTAGCTGTTTATGGGACTGTAATTCTTCCCCAGGTATTCTTAGATTCTTAGCAGTAGGATTGGAAGACTGCTGCACTATGTGATTTCTTTTTTTTTCTTTAATTGCGTTTTAGGTTTTGGGGTACATGTGAAGAACATGAAACATTGTTGCATAGGTACACACATGGCAGTGTGATTTGCTGCCTTCCTCCCCATCACCTATATCAGGCACACTATGTGATTTCTAAAGAGTTTGTAGGATATTTTGAGATTGATTTCCTGAGAGTTTGATATGGGATACCCCTGTTTCAGTTCTGAGAATTATTTGTAGTCTGCAGAAATAGGAACTTGAGAAATACTCATGAAGAGTGGAAAAAAAGAGTGAGGACCAAGAAAAGGATTATTACTTTGACCCAGAGTTTATTGTGGCCCAAATAACATCAGAGTGTGTCACGTCCATATCCTGGCAGGGAACACAAGGAGTAAACAGAAAAAAGTGAAGAGATTAAGGTGTGATCAGGGATAAGGGAACCAGTGCCTGGAGAAAGACATTCAGGAACTAGCAAAGCAGAGCACCATTGCCTCCCCTGGGCCGAAGGAGCAGAAGGGACAGAGGTACCAGACTTGGTGAGAGGCGTTGCTCTGGACAAATGCTTGACAGCACTTGAGGCCTCACCCAGCAGGGAGGATGGAGTGGGGAGACATGTCCCACCCTTAGCCATCTCCTGTCCTCCACTTTCCTGAGGGGCTGCTACTGTGTCCAACAGGAAGCCACTGTTGCTATGGTTGTTCACGTCCGCCTCTTGGGGCACAGATCGGAGTGGAGAGGGTCTGAAGGACCATGTGGAAATTGTCCAGAACGTGGGAAGGTAGAAAAAAAAAACGTGGGGAGCTTATGGACAGAGATGGTGGAAAGGTGGTGAAGATAGAGGGGGAAGAGGCATGTAGTGTTTGAATATCACCCCTGACTGCCCCACTGTCTATGTCATATATGTGTGTCAGTGAATGAAAAGCAAAATTCCCTGACCCTGGTTTGGGAAATCAACAGAATTCATGTGAGTTCAGCAAGATTGATCTTAGTTTTTTTTTTTTGAGTTGAAGTCTTGCTCTGTTGCCCAGGCTGGAGTGCAGCAGTGTGATCTTGGCTCACTGCAACCTCCACCTCCCAGGTTCAAGCAATCCTCACACCTCAGCTTCCTAAGTAGCTGGGACTACAGACATGTACCATCACACCTAGCTAATGTTTGTATTTTTAGTAGAAATGGGGTTTCACCAGGTTGTCCAGATTGCTCTTAAACTCCTGACCTCACATGCCAGGTGACAAATCATAAGATAAATTGATCCCTTTTGTGTAGTTTTATTTGATTAGTGTTTTAGAAATCCTTCTTTTCATGTCTAGCTTTCTATACCCTCCCTGTGAATAAGTTGAGTATCAAGAGATAGAGCCATTCTCATTTATTTATTTTTTTGAGACAGAGTTTCACTCTTGTTTTCCAGGCTGGAGTGCAATGGCATGATCTCAGCTCACTGCAACCTCTGCCTCCTGGGTTCAAGCGATTCTTCAGCCTAGGCCTCCCTAGCAGCTGGGATTATAGGCATGTGCCACCATGCGCGGCTAATTTTGTATTTTTTTAGTAGACATGGGGTTTTGCTATGTTGGCCAGGCTGGTCTTGAACTCCTGACCTCAGGTGATCCGCCCTCCTTGGCCTCCCAAAGTGCTGGGATTACAGGTATGAGCCACCATGCCTGGCCTACTCTCGTGTTATTAGACCTGCATTGAGGAAAGATTATTGGCCATGTGTAGTGGCTCACGCCTGTAATCCCAGCACTTTGGGAGGCCAAGATGGGCAGATCACTTGAGGTCAGGAGGTCAAGACCAGCCTGGCCAGCATGGTGAAACCCCATCTCTACTAAAAATACAAAAATTAGCCAGGCGTGGTGGTGGGTATCTGTAGTCCCAGCTACTCGTGAGGCTGAGGTGGGAGGAGTGCTTGAACCTGGGAGGCAGAGGTTGCAGTGAGCCGAGATCGCACCACTGCACTCCAGCCTGGGCAACAGAGCAAGACTTGGTCTCAAAAAAAAAAAAAAAAATTATTTTTTCAGAAGATACATAGATATTCAAATAGTCATGTTCAGGTCATTTGTAATATACACTGTTCATATTATTTCTGTCTCTGGATTTAAAAAATTACAAAAGCAATATATTCTTATTGTATAGGAATGAGACATACAGATAACCAAAGTAGCCATGTGTTTTTCTTGGTTCAAGGATTAGCAGAAGGAATGTATAAAGAAGTGAAATTCATTTATGTGACAAGTATTTATGTACGGCATACTATGTTCAATATAGACATTTGGAGGGTAGGGGTAAAACAAAACCTGTGGAAATCCCTGCCCTCAGGGTGGATTTAGGTAGCTTGTTAAGAGTTCTGTTCCAAGGCAGCAGCAATGCTCCCATCTGGCCACAAGATGGAGGCCTCGTGCAGCAGAAGGGCACCTGCCACCTCCCCAGGAGGCTGGTGTGAATGGGTGTGGCCTCCCTGGTCACTGACCTGGAATTCTCTGAGATTGCCTAGGGTAGAGTGAGACGTTTTAACCCTGTCCCTTTGGTATGTTAACTTACACTAGGGTTGTGCACAGCTGTCTAGAACAAGCGATTTGAAATTACCATAATGCAAGAGAGCCCTTTTGGGTGGTCAGAGTTAATTCCCACAGGTTTTTACACATGATGAGGTTTGTAGAGATTTCCTATTTCCTTTACCATGTTTGAGTAATATATAGTTTAATAGTAGAAGCAAAATTTAACAGTTAGGTGCAAAGAAAAAATTTTAAATCACAGAAATTTTATCTGTTTCTTTTTCAGTTTTTGCCTATGACCATAGGTGGTATTTCATATATGATGATTGTAGTGTGTATGTATATAAAGAATGTCTTCATCTAACATTGTTACAAATAACGCAGCTATGTAGTTTTGAAAGCATAGTTAGTGCTTGCTAGTTGATTTTTTGAGTGGCCAGGATTAAGATAAAATCAATAATTCCAGTAAAAGTTACTGTGGCCCAATATTTCTTAAAAGAGCAGAAAATGAAACTCTGACTTGAGGGAGAAGAAATAGTCCAAAGGTACTTTGCCCTATTTCTGAGAAATGCTTTTTTTTTTTTTTTAAAGAGATGGGGTGGGGGTCTCACCCTGGTTGGTCTTGAACTCCTGGCCTCAAGTGATCATCCCACCTCAGCCTTTCAAAGGAATTATGGGTGTGAGCCACCGAGCCTGGCCCCTAAGAAACACATTTTATAAGAAGCTTTGGCAGCCAATTTTATAATGTTTAGCTGGTCTGAATATTGACTTTTAAGTTCCAATCTTTCTGCTAGGACAGGGTCTCTAGAAAATTTAGAGACTAGCTTTATTTCTTCCTCCCTTTATTAAAGCTTCCTTTAGAGCTCTGGAGATACCCATGTGGTTCTAAGCAGTCCCCACAAGCTTCTGATTTGGGTTTCCTCTTGTCCTCCCAGACCCCTAGATTTGAAAGCTCTACCCCTTCTCTTTCGGTTGCACATAATTGAGGAAGTCTCAGTTTTTCTCCTCTAGGTTGCAGTAATGTTCTGTTCTCAAGGCATCTGGCTCTTTGAGGCTTTCTCACTCATCGCAAGTGAGAATAGAAGAATGAGACATACAGATAACCAAAGTTGCCTTGTGTTTTTCTCAGTTCGAGGATTAGGAGAGGGAATGTAGAAAGAAGTGGAATGCCTTCATGTGACAAATATTATGTACTGCCTTTCAGTACCCTCCATGTTTTTGCACTTTCACATTCCTGTGGATGGGTTCCCTTGGTTTGCTGTTGTTGGTCATGTGTTATGTGTTCACTTTATTTTATTAGGAATGAGAAACCAGGTTACTGCCCAGAAGTAGTTGTTCTCAAAGTGTGGGTCCCAGACAGGTAGCATGAGTCTCACCCAGGAACTTGTTAGAAATGTAAATTCTCAAGCTCACCCCAGACATTCCAAATTGGAAACTCCATGGATGGGACCCAGCTTACTCTGTATTATCAAGTCCTCCAGGGATTCTGATGTACTCTGAAGTTCGAAAATCACTGTCCTAAAGCATTGCTACTTTAATCAGAGAATTTATACCATTAGCTCTTAGCCCCCTCAAATCTTCGTATATGTTGGCATAAAAACTGATGATTTCCTAGCTCTTGAGATCCAACACTTAACAATTTGTATTACATATTTGATTTTTTTGAATGTCAGTATTTCTGCAACATAATGTTTTAAATTTAAAGTTGATAATACTTTTGCTTGATTTGTTGACGTGGATTTTTTGGGATTTTTGTTGGCTGCTGTTGACTCATCAGTTGAATGAGTGTGGTGGAGAGGCGGTATTATGTAGTTCCCACTCTTTCACCATAGCATTTTCTGATTTTTATCGCTGTGATTTCCTCCTCCAGTGCCTACTACTGCAGTTGTTCCATTGAGTCAGTCTGCCAGTGGGTGCCACTAGCTTTGTGAATCAGCCTGTGCTGGCTCTGCACACTCCCGAGCTGCCTTCTGCTTCTCAGGGAGTAGCGACAAGTCTGTGCCATGAGACAGTCGTGCTTCTCCGCTCTGCCTTCAGTCCTTTAAATAACACATTTTCTTGAAGCCTTGAGTACTAGTCTGGCAGTAAAGTGAGGCCTTAAAAACACAAAACAGAAAACAACCAAAGTCCTTTGTGCTGTGGACTAAAAACTGAGATGAACTTAAAAAACAAGACTTTTAGAATATTATTTATTCCAGGACAGGTTAGAAGTCAGAAATGCAAATATTCCCACCCAAGATATCAGTGCAGATTTTACTAAGTGAAGATTGGGCAAAATAGATGCTTAGGGAGAGATTAGTGACTTGAAATATCTTGAGTATTTTTATATCTCTTTCTCCTAGACCTGGAAAGGAAAGAGCAAGAATCAGAGCAGCTGAAAATGGATTGTGAGCACTTTAAAGCCCGCCTGGAAGCCGTGCAGGCCGACAGCATAAGAGAGAAGAAGGTACTATGCTCAGGGACAGGCTCTCACCATGCCAGAAAGTGGGGTTGGCTTACAGCCTTTCACTTATGATAAGCAGTGGGTCTGAATTTTTTACTCTTAATCGTCAATAAATTGTATTTGTAAATGTATGTATTTTTAGTGGGTTGGAATGTAGGTGAACAGATGGATTTTATAACCAGTTAACACGTAGATCATTCACTTGCTATCTTTTAACTTTTATGTTTAAAAATCTGCCCTAAAATATAAAGGTTCATAATTATCTTAGTTCATTTTGTGTTCCTATAACAAAATATCTGAGGTTGAGTAATTTATAAAGAAAAGAGATTGGCTGGGTGCAGTGGCTCATGCCTGTAATTCCAGCACTTTGGGAGGTGAAGGCAGGCAGATCACCTGAGGTCAGGGGTTCGTGACCAGCCTGACCAACATGGTGAAACCTTGTCTCTACCAGAAATACAAAAATTAGCCAGGCATGGTGATGCACACCTGTAATCCCAGGTGCTTGGGAAGCTGAGGCAGGAGAATCCCTTAAACCTGGAAGGTGGAGGTTGCAGTGAGCCAAGATCGTGCCACTGCCCTCTAGCCTGGGCGGCAGCAAGACTCCAGATCAAAAAAAAAAAGAAAAGAAAAAAAAGAGGTTTATTTATGTTAAGATTTTGGTGGCTGGAAGGTTCAAGATTGGGCATCTTTTATCTTTTTCTGGTGAGGGCCTCAGTCTCCTTCAAATCATGACAGAAGGGGAAGCAGGCTGTGTGACGAGATCACATGATGAGAGAAAGCAAGAGAGAGAAACTGAGGAAGCCAGACTCTAACAATCTGCTGTCAGGGAAACTAATCCATTCCTGTGAGAGCGAGAACTCACTCACCCTCCATAGTCGATTCATGAGGAATCCACTCCATGACCCATCACCTCCCACTAGGCCCCACCTCTAAGAGTGCCACACGGGGGATCAGATTTCAGCATGACTTTGGATGGGGACAAACCACATCTGAACCATAGCAATGAGAATCTTGGGGGAAAAATTATGTACATTGTATCTTATCTTTGGAGATAGATGTATTAAATCAGAAGTACTTGTAATTAATTTGTGGATTATTCTATTTTTGACATAACCAGTTATATTTTATATAAATATTAGAGAAACTAATAATATTTCTTAAAAGTTATATATTTTAACTTTCTGTGTGGCATAACTTATTTCCTTTTCCATACAACTAGAACTATTCTAACACTTCTTATAAAATTTGGGGCTTGGATGTATTTTTATTTTGAATAATAGTAGTACAGGTGCAGTGGCTCATGCCTGTAATCCTAGCACTTTGGGATACCAGGGTGGGTGGTTTGCTTGAGCCCAGGAGTTCAAGACCAGGCTAGGCAACATTGTGAAACCCTGTTTCTATACAAAAAATACAAAAGTAAGCCGGGAGTGCTGATGTGTGCCTGTAGTCCCAGCTACTTGGGAGACTGAGGTAGGAGAATTGCTTGAACCCAGGAGGTGGAGGTTGTAGTGAGCCCAGATTGCTCCACTGTGCTCCAGCCTGGGTGACAGAGCCAGACTCAGTCTTTAAAAAAAAAAAAAAAAAAAAAAAAAAAAGAAGCCATTCCAGTAAATGCATCCTGAGAAGGAGGAAACAGCCATGATAAAGTAGTTTGAAATCGCCAGAGTTTTGTTGCCCTGGAACTTTGACCTTAAAATGTGGGAATATTTTACCCAACTATTCCCTATTTTTAGTTAAAAATCTTGTTGAATGGTCTCACCAATTTAATACAGATGGAAACCCTTGTGAGTTTAATACAGAGGGAAGGCCCCACAAGGTTAATACGGAGGGAAGCTCTCCCAAGGTTAATAGAGAGGGGAGCCCCGCCCAAGGTTAATAGAGAGGGGATTCCCGCCCAAGGTTAATAGAGAGGGAAGCTCCCCCAAGGTTAATAGAGAGGGAAGCCCCACAAGGTTAATATGGAGGGAAGCTCTCCCAAGGTTAATAGAGAGGGGAGCCCCCCCAAGGTTAATAGAGAGGGAAGCTCCCCGAAGGTTAATAGAGAGGGAAGTCCCACAAGGTTAATAGAGAGGGGAGCCTCCCAAGGTTAATAGAGAGGGGAGTCCCCCCAAGGTTAATAGAGAGGGGAGTCCCCCCAAGGTTAATAGAGAGGGAAGCCCCCTTAAGGTTAATATGGAGGGAAGCTCTCCCAAGGTTAATAGAGAGGGGATCCCCCCACAAGGTTAATAGAGAGGGAAGCCCCTACAAGGTTAATATGGAGGGAAGCTCCCTCGAGGTTAATAGAGAGGGAAGTCCCTGAAAGGTTAATAGAGAGGGAAGCCCCTGCAAGGTTAATAGAGAGGGAAGCCCCCCAAGGTTAATAGAGAGGGGAGCCTGCCCAAGGTTAATAGAGAGGGAAGCCCCCACAAGGTTCATAGAGAGAGAAGCCCCCCCAAGGTTAATAGAGAGGGGAGCCCCCCCAAGGTTAATGGAGAGAGGAGCCCCCCACAAGGTTAATAGAGAGGGGAGCCCCCACAAGGTTAATAGGGAAGCCCCCCAAGGTTAATAGAGAGGGGAGCCCCTGCAAGGTTAATATGGAGGGAGGCTCCCCCAAGGTTAATAGAGAGGGGAGCCCCCTCAAGGCTAATAGAGAGGGGAGCCTCCCCAAGGTTAATAGAGAGGGAAGCTCCCCAAGGTTAATAGAGAAGCCCCCGCAAGGTTAATAGAGAGGGGAGCCCCGTCAAGGTTAATAGAGAGGGGAGCCCCCCGAAGGTTAATAGGGGAGCCCCCGAAGGTTAATAGAGAGGGAAGCCCCCCAAGGTTAATAGAGAGGGAAGCCCCCCAAGGTTAATAGAGAAGCTCCCCCAATGTTAATAGAGAGGGAAGTCCCCCCAAGGTTAATAGAGAAGGAAGCCCCCCCAAGGTTAATAGAGAGGGGAGCCCTGCAAGGTTAATAGAGAGGGGATTCCCCCCCAAGGTTAATAGAGAGGGGAGCCCTTGCAAGGTTAATGGAGAGGGAAGTCCCCCGCAAGGTTAATAGAGAGGGGAGCTCCCCCAAGGTTAATAGAGAGGGAAGCCCCCCGCAAGGTTAATAGAGAGGGGAGCCCCCCCCCCAAGGTTAATAGAGAGGGGAGCCCCCACAAGGTTAATAGAGAAGAAAGTCCCCCCAACGTTAATACAGAGGGAAGCCCCTGCAAGGTTAATGCAGAGGGAAGCTCCTGCAATTTACCATAACAAGATCATTTCTCTTCTGGCAGCTGCCTTATCTGTGGTGTTTTTTGGTGTCTCTGTCCAGGCCTGTACAGATTATAAGGCGGGACTCTAGAAACTTATTGTTTTTATTTCTTTTGAGACAAGGTCTTGCTCTGTTGCCAGGGTGGAGTGCAGTGGTGCAATAATAGTTGCTGCATCTCGATCTCCTGGGCTTATGCGATCCTCCTCCTTGGCCTCCAGAGTGACTGGACTACAGAGGTGTGCCATGACACCCAGCTAAATTTAATTAATTAATTTTTTTACAAGAACAATTCTATTGAAGTATAATCTTTAAAACAATTAAAACTTTTTTTTATAGAGATGGGGTCTCACTGTGTTGCCCAGGTTGGTCTTGAACGCCTGGGCTCAAGCGATTCTCCTGCTTTGGGCCTCCCAGAGTGCTGGGATAAGAAATCAGTAAATTGGAATTCATCAAAATTTAAAACATTTGCTTTTTGAAAGAACCTGTGAATATAAAATCACCAGCTAGAAACTGGGAGAAAATACCTGCAAACCATATATTCAGCAAAGGACTTATATCTAGAATATATCAAGAGCTCAAACTCAAAAATAAAAAAAAAAGAATAGTTAAGGCAACTTTGAAAAACAGGAATGAAATGGGAAGAAAGGAAAAAAAAAGTCCAATTAGAACATGGGCAAAAGACATGAAAAAAATGTTTCATAAAAGAGAACATGCAGACAGAAAATAAGTGCATGAAACGATGTACACCATCACTAGCTGTCAGGGAAATGCAAATTAAAACCACAATGCACCTGTCAAAATAACTAAAATTAAAAATAGAGATAACACCAAATACTGGGTAGGATATGGAGAGAGTGAATCACTCATACATTGGTGGGAATATAAAATGGTACAGCCACTCTGGAAAACAACTGGGCAGTTTCTTCCAAAACTAAACATGCATGTGCCATACAACCCAGTAATTGTACTCTTGGGCATTTATCACAGAATAATAAAGGCACATATCACACAAAAACCTATACATGGGTGTTCCTAGTGTCTTCATTAGTAACAAAAAAAAAAACTTGGAAACTATCTAAACTTCTTTCAGTGGAGAAATGGCTAAACAAATTGCAACATATACGTACCATGGAATACAAAGCAATAAAAAGAAGCAAACTAGTGACGCATGCAACTTGGATGTATCTGAGGAAACAAGCACTGGTGGCTCATGCCTATAAGCACTTTGGGAGGCAGAGGCCAGAGGATTGCTTGAGCCCAGGAGTTTGAGACCAGCCTGAGCAACATGGTGAAACCCCGTCTTTAGTACAAAACATGTAATTCATTTTAAAAAATGAAGAGAAGGGGCCAAGGCAGGCGAATCATGAGGTCAGGAGTTTGAGACCAGCCTGGCCAACACAGTGAAACTCCATCTCTACTAAAAATACAAAAACTAGCCAGACGTGGTGGCACGCACCTGTTATCTCAGCTACTCGGGAGGCTGAGGCGGGAGAATCGCTTGAACCCAGGAGGCAAAAGTTGCAGTGAGCCGAGATCGTGCCACTGCACTCCAGCCTGAGCAACGGAGTGAGACCTTATCTCAAAAACAACAAAGTAATTCAGTATTCTCCAACAGTTGTGCCTATACCAGGAGGCTAGGATCTTTTTCCTCTAGAGTTCAAACGTTGCTACTGTCAGGACTCTTTCCTGGCCCAGCCTCCTCACATCATAAGCAGATATTAAGACCCAGCACACCTCCTCCACTGACCCAACAAAATCCCTGTGGAGGAAACATATCCACCATGTCCAGGAACGAAGTCTTCCGTTGTTTTTTAGCATCAATTGTGAAAAGACTCTCCTTTTTCCGTTGAATTGCACTGGCACCTTCATTAAAATCAAGTGACAGTTCAGTGTTTCACTGATCTATATGTCCATCCTTATGCCAGTGTCACACTAGTTCTATTTTGGTAGGTTTATAATTAGTTTGTTTTTTCCTCTGAATCAGGCACTGTTAGTTTTCTAACATGGTTCTTCTTTTTCAAACAATTTTTTAGATATTCTGAGTCTTTTGCATTACTGTAGAAATTTTAGAATCAGATTATCACCTTGTACAGGAGGAGTCTGCTGAAATTTTGATAGGGATTATGTTGAATATGTAGGTCAGTCTGGGAAGAGTCGACATCTTACCAATATTGATTCTTGCAATTTTTGAACATGGTATACCTCTTTATTTAGCTCTTCTTTACTTTCTCTCAATAATGTTTTGTAGTTTTCATTGTATCGGTCTTGCACTTTAAAAAATTATTCTTATTTTTGATGTTCCTGGGAATGCTATGATCTTCTTGAGTTATTTTGATACTATTGTATTACGTGTGGAACCCTGTGTTGGAGCATATCCTCCTGCAATTACCAAATGTGACTGTAGCGAGGAGAGTCCTGCCTGCTTATTCTCAGCAGTCTTTTTGTGGTCGTGCAGAAGAACCACCATACCCTGACTAATTAAGATGCAGACTGCTTAAGTGTGAGAAAAAGTAGAATTCCAAAAGGAAGTGCTATGACATATTTTTTTTCATGTGTCACCATGACTTGTGTTCAGCTACAAACACTGGGAGGATGAATCTAGGAGTCCAGATTGTTGTTATAATGAAGATATTCAAAACCCAGAGGTGACAAATCACATGATGCAATATTAGCATTCATACACATTCATACATATATACATGTATACATACATATATACACGTATACATAGACATGTATACATATATACACGTATATGTGTATGAATGTGTATGAATCTCTGCCAAATGCATTGTCTCCAGGTAAATATGAGTGGGCCACCCTAATCTAAGTTATGAGGTCCACAGTTTTGATTTGTGGCCCCAAAGCTCCCTTTTTCCTCCAGGGGGTGAAAAGTCCCCTCTACTTTGTCTTGTATTCCTCTCTCTAAGAGAAAAATCTGCAACCTTTAATGTACTTTAACTTTGTGGTTTATGTAACTATTACATTTGGTATAAATGAATTTAACTAGGGTTTTATACGTTTCAGTTTTTGTCTTATTAAATCTCACCTTTTGAGGGAATTTCTGGTACCTGGTGCTGACGGTTGGAGAGGCCAGGAAGCCCCACATCACTCTAGTGGTACACACAGGGTGAATCCTTGAGGGTGTTTGTGTTGTCAGAGGGGCTGCATCGGGAGGGCCATTCCCTGTACTTCCCTTGTGAAGAGAGCCATGGCAGAGACTTGCCCAGCTCCAGGTGGTCTCAGATGTTGCTGGTGGCAGAGTAGGAAACTCTCCCTAGCCTCCATCTTCTTGTTAGACTGGCACTGGCTTGCGGTGGCAGGGCGTGAATAGGACTCCCAGCCTTCACATTTCCTTTTGCCCCTGCTCCCATCTTTCCTACCTGGGCTTAGGTTTTAGGTTTTCTTTCCTTGTTTAGCTTCACAGCTGTATATTTTATATTTACAGGCACCTTTGGGAATATTCTTATGAGGACTTAAGGATATGTTTATATAGGATGAGTTTTTCTAAAGTACTGCTTTTTCACAAATCCTGATGTCCAAGTGCCTTTTATTTTGCATCTGCCTCTGGCAGATGTCTTTTTTTTTTTTATAATGGAGTGAACCATTTGGAGGAGGCAGTCCCCTGTCTTAGAAATGTTGTTGCTCTCTGGGTAAACTGCAATGTGAGGTTATTACTTTGTTCAGAAATCTCTGTTGGTGCTGGTTCTGGGTATAGTCACTTGGGACTTGAGATATTTCATGTAGTTACTTAAAGCAGATGAATTCAGATCTGTGGGTCTATCAACCATAATATAGTAGAATGTTCTTTCCTCAGATATTTCTCAAGTATTTTTGCCTTTCAAGTTTCTTTTGTAGATATGGATTATGGCTCTCAGGACTAGCTTTCATTTACAACTATTTTCTATAATTATATTTGCGTTTCTTTAGTAAATCTTGGTGAAAGAGGAAATACAATAAAGATAGTTCAAGGCTGAATGCTATTATTTATTTTTCTGATTTTGTTTTGCTTTCAGGAGAAACTGGCTCTTCGACAGCAGTTGAATGAAGCGAAGCAGCAACTCCTGCAGCAGGCAGAGTATTGTACAGAAATGGGAGCAGCAGCCTGTACCCTCTTGTGGGGCGTCTCCAGCAGTGAGGAAGTTGTCAAGGCCATTTTGGGAGGAGTAAGTATGGTCAGCGGGCTCTCTAGATGTTGTTGATTAATGCTTGTATAACTTAGAGCATTAAGGTATTTAAAGACTAAGCCCATCTTTCTTTTTTTTTTTTTTTTTTTTTGAGATGAAGTCTTGCTCTGTTGCCCAGGCTGGTGTGCAGCGGTGTGATCTTGGCTCACTGCATCTTCCACCTCCTGGGTTCAAGTAATTCTCCTGCCTCAGCCTCCTGAGTAGCTGGGATTACAGGTGTGTGCTACCATGCCTGGTTAATTTTTGTATTTTTTAGTAGAGATGGGGTTTCACCATGTTGGTCAGGCTGGTCTTGAACTCCTGACCTCGTGATCTGCCTGCCTTGGCCTCCCAAAGTGCTGGGATTACAGGCATGACTAAGTCCATATCTTTCTTTCAATTTTCTTTTGTTCATTCATCAGCTAGTTATTGAATACCAATTTTATATGGTTCATTGTAACCTACCTTAGAGTGAATGAAATCAGATCCCTTCTCTCCAGGAGCCCTTGTGGTATATGTGGACATGTTACCACTTTAATATTAATATTTTACATGTGTATGAGTTTAACAAGATCAAAAGTGCTTTTATATATTATCTCATGGTTAATGTAGTATTTGTTGAATATTGTATGTTATCTAACAGATATACATGTATGTAGATGTATATATGCGTTTATACATTCACATACACATAGATGCAGTTGACCCTTGAACAATGTGGAGGTTAGGGGTGCTGACCCCTGCACGGTTGAAAAGCCACGTAGAACTTTTGACTCTCCCTACTGTTGACTGGAAGCCTTACTGATAACTTAAATAGTTGGTTAACATGTTTTTTATATGTTAGATCATCATAAAGGTCTTCATTCTCATCATCTTCAAGCTGAGTAGGCTGAAGAGCAGGAGGAAGAGGAGTGGTTGGCTGTGCTGTCTGAGGAGTGGTAAAGGTAGGGGAGGTGGAAGGGGATGCTGGAGAGGCAGACACACTTGGTGTAATTTTACTGAAGAATATTCTTGTGTAAGTATACTTGCACAGTTCAAACCCTTGTTCAAGGTTCAACCGTGTGTGTGTGTATGTGTGTGCATGTGTGCACATACAAGTGTGCATGCATGTGGGTATTTATCAGGGAACTTCACAGAAAATGATAAATTTGAAATGGGCCTTGATGAACAGGTAGAAATGGCAGAAAACAGGTGGGTTTGTTTTAGGACAGTGAGTAGGTCAGTTGACACAGTGGAGAGTTAATGTAAGAAAGTAGTGGGGAGATAAAGCTTAAAGGTAGGTTGGAATGTGATTTTGGGACCTTGAATACCAGGTTGATGATTTCTCCTGTAGGTGGTAGGACTAGATTTTCTCTAAGGGTTTTCCAGTAAAAGAGTGATAGAGTAAGAGCAGAATTCTAGGAAGATTCACCTGACAGTGAGTGAGGGTGAATTGAGGTGGAGTTGTGGCACCTCGGGTCTAGACAGGATGACTGATGAGGTGGTCATTCCAGCTGGTCTGGCTGGAGTGAGCTCGGCCCTCAGCAGGGGAGATGGGAAAGAAGGAACATGTGTGAGATCCAGGGCAGTGGAGGCAGATGTGATGGCAAGGTGGAGTGAGCACCTGGAGGGGACAAGAGGGTCCAAAAAAGACTGGTGTTTGACTGTGGGAGGATGGTGTGATCACGACTGGAAATGAGAGTGAAGAGGGGGATGTGTGTCAGGAAACCAGTGGTAAATTACTTACGGGTAATAGAAATAACAGTTGTGTTTGACTTTAGGTAGAAAGACTAAATGTGTTTTAAAAAGTTGATTGAGCTTTATTAGGTTTAATTTACATACTATAAAATTGTAAATGTACAATTTAGTGTTTTTTAGCAGATTTCTAGAGTTGTGTTAACCATCACCACAACCCAGTTTTAGATTATTTTTTATCATCCTTGAAGTTTTCTTGTATCATTTGTAAATGCAAATTTTTCTATTTTTTAAACTATGTTAAAATGTGCATTTGTTTTAAAATTCTTCTTCAGAACCCTAGCACCCCAAAGGAAGTAACTGAAGGGTTCAAACTTGGAAATGCTTTTTGCCAAGTAATGAAGATTTAACCTACCAGAGGAGCCAGTGTTCTTCTCTTTCACATGTTTCCATTAAGATTTTTTTTTTAAAGTCATGCTAAAGGTTTGAACACCTCTGGTTTAATGCCCAGAGCAAATAGACAGCATGTTTTTCTAGTATATTTTACTTATATTTTTTCAGCGAATTCTTCTCATTTACCTTAATGATTGTGTACATTTGTCCTATTTCATAATATGCATATGAAGAGTCCACCAATCTTCAGGGTAGTTTTTCCTGCTCCTGCATGACTCAAGCTGCTTTCTGTGCTCTTTTAATGGGAACTTTTAATAAGGGAATACATTTTACGATATTCTATGATTAAAACTAGAATCTTCTATATCCTGCACTTTAAAATGTTTTCACACTAGTGTCTGTAAAAGATATGACACTATGCTTTCCAAACTTTCAGGATAAAGCTTTGAAGTTTTTCAGCATCACTGGTCAAACAATGGAGAGTTTTGTGAAGTCACTGGATGGTGATGTCAAGGAGCTTAATTCAGATGAAAATCAGTTTGTTTTTGCTCTGGCTGGAATTGTAACAAGTAAGTGCAAGTATACCTTGGAGATACTGCATGTTTGGTTCCAGACTACTGCAATAAAGCAAATATCGCAACAGCAAATGAGTCACATGAAGCTCTTGGTTTCCCAGTGCATATGCAAATTGTGTTTACACTATACTGTAGTCTGTTATATGTACAATATATGTATGTACAATATATATGTACAATATATATGTCTGAAAAACAATGTACAAACTTTAATTAGAAAATACTTTGTTGCTACAAATCCTAATGAACTCTGAGCCTTCACCAAGTTACAATTTTTTGCTGGTAGAGGGTCTTGCCTTGATATTGATGGCCGCTGACTGATCAGGGTGGTAGTTACTGAAGGTCTGGGTGGCTGTGGCAATTTCTTAAAATGAGGCAACCATGAAGTTTGCCACATCTGTTAACTCTCCTTTTATGTAAGATTTCTCTGTACCATGTGATGCTGTTTGATAACATTTTTTCCATAGTAAAACATCTCTCAGAATTGGAGTCAGGCCTCTCAAACCCTGCTGCTGCTTTGTCAACTAAGTTTATGTAATATTCTGAATCCTTTGTTCTTATTTCAACAACGTCTTAGCATCTTCACCCAGAATAGATTCCATCTCAGGAAATCACTTTCTTTGCTCTTCCATGAGAAGGAACTCATCCATTGTTTCTACCATGTCTGTAGTTACTTACTCTATTGAAGTCATGAACTCTTCAAGGTCATCCATGAGGATTGACATCAATTTCTTCCAAACTCCTGTTAATGTTGTTTTATTGCTCTCCTCCCTTGCATCATGAATATTCTTAATGGCATCCAGAATGGTGAACCCTTTTTAGAAGGTTTTCAGTTTACTTTACGCAGATCTATCAGAGGAATCACTGTCTGTAGCAGCTGTAGCCTTATGAAATGTAGTTCTTAAAAAAAAGTAGAACTCAAAAGTTGAAGTTTCTTTTTGATGTATGAGCTGAAGAATAGATCTTGTATTAGCAGGCATGGAGTCAACATTACTCTCCTTGTATATCTCCATCATGGCTCTGGATTGACCAGGTGCATTGTCAATGAACAGTAGTATTTTCAAAGAAATCTTTTATTCTGAGCAGTAGGTCTCAACAGTGGGCTTAAAAATATTCAGTAAACCATGCTGTAAATAGATGTGCTGTTACCTAGGCTTTGTTTTTCTATTTCTAGAGCACAGGCAACAGTATATTTAGCATAATTCTTAAGGGCTCTAGGATTTTCAGAATGGGAAATGAACATTGGCTTTAAATGAGCTTTGGCTTCAATTAAAGTCGCCAGCACCATTAGCCCCTAACAAGAGAGTCAGCCTGTCTTGATGTTTTGAAGCCAGACCTTGACTTTTCTCTAGCAGTGGAAGTCCTAGATGGCGCTTTCTTCCAATAGAAAGCTGTTTTGTCTATGTTGAAAATCTCTTGTTTAGTGTAACCACCTCCAACAATTATCTTAGCTAGATCTTCTGGATAACTTGCTGCAGCTTCTCCATCAGCACTTGCTGCTGTATTTTGTACTTTTATACTATAGAGACAAGTTCTTTCCTTAAACCTCATGAAGCAACCTGTATGAGCTTCCAGCTTTTCTTCTGCAGCTTCCTCAACCCTGTCAGTCTTCATAGAATTGAAGAGCATTTTTTCTGGCTGATTTTTGATCTTCTATCTAGAATACTTGGGCTTTCTCCATATCAGCAGTAAGGCTGTTTTGCTTTCTTACCATTCATGTGTTCACTGGAGTAGCACTTCTAATTTCTATCAAGAACTTTGTGTTTGCAGTCATAACTTGGCTGTTTGGTGCAAGAGGTCTAATTTGCAGCAGGCCTCAGCTTTGGCCATGCCTTCCTCACTAAGCTTAATCATTTCTAGCTTTTGATTTCAGACGTGCAACTCTTCCTTTTGCTTGAACATTTAGAGGTCATTGTAGGGTAATTAATTGGCCTAATTTCAATATTGTTGTGTCTCAGGGAATAGCAAGGCCCTAGGAGAGGGAGAGAGATGGGAATGGTCAATCATTGGAACAGTCAGAAGATAAGTAACATGCACTGATCAAATTTGCTGTCTTATATGGGTGTGGTTCATGGTGCCCCAACACAATTACAGTGGTCACATCAAAAATCACTAATCACAGATGACCATAACAGATGTAATAATAATGAAAAAATTGGAAGTACTGCAAGAATTACCAAAATGTGACACAGAGATGTGAAGTAAGCACATACTGTTGGAAAAATGGTGCCAACAAATTTGCTCAATGCAGGGTTGCCACCTTCCTTCAATTTGTAAAAAACAAAACAAAAAACCAGTATCTGCAAAGCACATTAAATCGAAAGTGATAAAATGAAGTGTGCTTATGATTCTTTTCAACTGTAGTGACTGTTGTAGAGACTGGTGTTACAGTCAGGGTTCAGTGTGTGTAAACATCTCTCTGGAGTGTTTTCAGACAGCAATCCTAGGCTGTACCCTGGAGAACCTGATTCCGTAGATCTGGGATAGGTACCAGGTGTGTTTATTTTTGAAAATCACCCCAGGTGATTCTGATAAGTATCAGTTATTGAGAACGAATGATATAAAGGAAACAGAAGAGTTTTCATGTTCTGTGTAGTTATGTACCTTGACAGGGAAAAAAACAACTAAGTTTAGCTCCTTTTACTGAGAATCATAATTTTACTGTCTAGCTAGCTAAACTAAAAGCCTTAAGCTAAGGTTAAACTGAGCTGTTTGCTATCGTTTTAGTATAATTATATAATTCCAAAAACCTAAATTGTCTCTTCAGTAAAATTCTCCTAAAAGGTAATAAAGTAAAGCTTTCCCTGGGAGTTACGATAAAATTCCATATCAAAACTGTCATAAGGGATAAAGTCCAGTGACTAAGTAATTTCTTAGTATAGAGGCCAGGCATGGTGGTGCATGCCTGTAATCCCAGCATTTTGGGCGGCCAAGGTAGGTGGATGACTTGAAGTCAGGAGTTCGAGACCAGCCTGGCCAACATGGGGAAACCCTGTCTCTACTAAAAATACAAAAAAAAATTAGCCAGGTGTGGTGATGCGCACCTGTAATCCCAGCTATTTGGGAGGCTGAGGCAGGAGAATTGCTTGAACCTGGGAGGCAGAGGTTGCAGTGAGCCAAGATTGCACCATTTCACTCCAGCCTGGGTGACAGAGCAAGACTCCATCCCCTACCCCCCAAAAAATTACTTAATATAGAAAGAGGTGGAATGTGGCTAGACAGAGTGGCTCATGCCTATAATCCCAGCACTTTGGGAGGCTGAGGCTGTGGATTGCCTGACGTCAGGAGCTCAAGACCAGCCTGGCCAACATAGCGAAACCCTGTGTCTACTAAAAATAGAAAAAAGTAGCTGAGTGTGGTGGTGGGCACCTGTAATCCTACTTACCTGGGAGGTTGCAGTGAGCCAAGATTGTGCCATTGCACTCCAACCTGGGCAACAAGAGTGAAACTCTGTCTAAAAAAAAAAGAAAAAGAGGTGGAATGTACTAGTGAGTATTGAGCTCTTTGTTCTGAAGTCAGTGAAATGGTTCAATCAATACATTGCTGTGACTTAGCCTTGAACAACGAGATTCAGAAAGTGTGACCAAGTATAGAGTTTATTTGTGCACAGAGCTTGACAATGGCCACTCAGAAACACCACCTCCAAACCAGTGGGGTCAGTGTTCCAAAGTGAAGAATTATATACGCAGAGACAGAGAAGTTCCAGCAGGATCCCAGCAATTTCCATACAAGACCAGTGTGGATGCCACAGTGATTTGCCTGTTTACAGATTGCTACATTCCCAGGAGGGTTATCTGAGGAAGTCTTATCTCCAGCACAGCTTGGTCTTAATTATTTACAGGAAAGAAAGGCAGAATTTGCAGCTGCAGAGCCACATTCCTCTTAATGCTTGGGATAATTTAAAGTGCCAACAGCTTTAAGTTTTCATTATTTAATTTCAGACTGTTATTTTTTTTTACATTGATCTTTAATCTCTTCTGTATTATTATTATTATCCCATGCTGCTCTTAGGCAAATTCTCTGCTATTAAAGAGAGAGAAAATTTTATTTTCCTCATGGCATTATCCTTCTTTTATTGAAATCCTAATGGGACAGGTCCTGTGTAGACATTTTTTTCTTAATCCCTTAAAACTTGGTGATACTTGTTGTGGGTGGATGCTGAGATTGTGGTGTTTTCTGGCTGCTCCTTACTCCGCCCAGTGCTTTGTCCAGTGCAGGGCAGAAGTCTGCACGTTCATCATGGCACCTACAGTTGTAGCAGGCTTGCATTGCTCTCCCTTTTAAAACATTGTTTGAAGGTTGTCTTTTAACAGATGGCATTTGCAAATTTGATGATTTCTGTTTTCTTCTCCTTGCAAGTGACCCCAGAGGTGTCTGATCTATGCGATTTGTCATTTTGCTGGTTGTGAATTTGAGCTGCCTGAATTGCTGGCTGGCAGGCTGGTGAGGCAGTGGACTAGTGAGTGAAGCCACCCTGTCGCCCAGCATTCAAGCTCAGTGTGGCTTTGTTTTCCTGTGCTGGTGGTGGTTTACGTAGGAACTCTTATGAAGAGTTGAATAGTGGGCCCTTATATATGCACATTAATGAATTCGACTGGGAAGAATGTTTTATTAAAGTGCTGATTTGCAGAGGCACTGGGGCTTATGTGTCTCAAATACCAAGACTATTCTGTGGTATAGGTAACAGAGACCATGGGTGAGCTGTCAAATGGATCCTTTTCCTTCTAAAACAAATGTTCTTTTAAAAATTTTATATAAATTCATTCTTTTTTTTTTTTAACCTTTTTGCAGTTCTGTAAGTTTTGACGAAGGTATACAGCTGCTTATCCACCACAATTAGGTTGTGGAACTCCTATTCCTTCCTCCAGAGCTCCTTCACTCCATCCTTCTGTAATCCAGTTCTCCACTTATCACCAGCCTAAGGCAACCACTGATTTTGTGATTTGTTAAATATTTTAGCTAGATTTTTTTTCTTTCTTTTTTTCTTTTTGCTG